TGGATGAATGGATGTGTGAAGGATGGATGGATGGATGAGTGATAGATGGATGTGTGGATGGGTGGATGGATGGATGGGTGAGTGTTGGATGGATGGATGGATGGATAGATAGATGGACAGATAGGTGAGTGATGGGTGGATTGATGGATGGATGAATGGATATGTGAATGATGGATTGATGGATGGATGGATGGATGTGTGAATGATGGATGGATGATGAATGAGTGATAGATGGATGGGTGGATGGGTGGATGGATGGATAGATGGGTGGATTGATGGATGGATGGGTGAGTGATGGGTAATGGATGAGTAGATGGAGAAAATAAAAGAAGAAAATAATTCTGACTGTTGAGGGTTCTAAGAGTTAGAGGGAGAGGCAATTAAGGTTCTGGATGCTGGAAAAGTGGCATTGGAGAGGCCCATCTCTCCAGACCCTCACTCCATCCACACAGCAGCCATGACTGAATCTGACTGGCTGCAGAGTCTAGTTGCTAATGGCGGGGGGGGGGCGCCCGGGGGGGGAGGATAGCCTGGAAATGGACCACTTCCCTCAGGTGAATCACCTAAGAGGAGACTGTCAGGAGCAGGGGCCCTAGGACCCTAGGATAGGCTCGCTCCCCACCTGCCTCCATTATCGGTCACCTTCCTAGGACTTCTGGAACTCAAACTGTCATCCTTCACTTCCCTTCAGTGGCCCCCTCTGCCTACGGGTTAGACTCGGGACTATTAGAACTGTCACCCACCACTGTCACCACTATCGTTACCGCCATTGCTACGATCGCAATTTCCGCTATCAGTGGGCTCAAACCCACGAACCAGGAGATCGTGACCTCAGCCACCCATGCACCTCCAGTGCTACTTTTTCTTCTCCCTTTTTTCCTTCCGCAGAATTGTTACTGTTAGTTTAAAATGCTTGTTAGAAAGGCAACACGGGTGCATTAGAGACAATTTAAGAAGTCTGAGACTTCAAACTTCAAAGAGAAATCAAAACTCACCCCCAAATACCGCCAGCAGAGGCATCAGCCCCCCATCCGGTCCCCGTTCCTCAGCAAGGTCCGCAGGGACCTCAGTGGCAGGCCACTGGTCACCTTCCCACCCGTCCCCGCTCTGACCATGCGTGCTGCTGTCAGATCAAACCTCTAATGCCCCCAGACCCACCTGCCCTCCCTCTTGCCCCTGGGCCTCTGAATATGCTGTTCCTTCTGCTCAACAAGTCCTTCCTCCTGTACTCTGTCCGGTTCACCCACACACACTCTGGGCCCTGGGCATTGACATAGGCCCTCTAGGGAGCCTCCTCTGAGTGCCCCACCCTTTAGGCAGGGACAGAGGCCTCCTCTGGGCCCCCAGCATCCCTGCTGAAGCACACGTCACCCTGTCTAGGTCCTGTTGACCTGTCCAGCTTCACCATGCAGAGAGCGGGGAGCGTGTTGAGCCACCTCTGTGTGCCCAGCACAGGCCTGCCGCTTAGCGGGAGCCTCCATGTGTGTTTGGGGAGTGAATGAGTGAAGGGTTTTCCAGAAGATGTGGCATTCGAGCCATGCTCTCGTGGTAGTATCGGGAAAGAAAGCAGTGAGGGTGCAGGGCCAGACGGCATTCTCTGCACCAAACGATGCGTCTTCTGCATTGACTTCTGACCTGAGCTGTCGCTCGGGTCCAGGAACCCCCACGCCTGCACACCCCCCAGCCTCCCGGTGGCGTGTTTGAGGAGGCCAGGCGGCTCCCACCCTGTCCACACCACTAGACAGACAACCTCGGACGCGAGGAGCACGATTCCTCTGTGTGCTATTGATTTTTCATAACCGCCCGCCGACAGACAAGGTGAACAGTTCACTTTTATGAATCCTTGTTAACAGTGTGTCGAGAGATATTTCACTTTAAGTGCCCCCTTTCCGCTGAAAAAGAAAAAAAATAACAGAAAATGTAAATTATCTCATTATGGAGAGACGTTGAGGGTTCTGAGCTGGGCTTTCAGAGGAGACAGAGCAGAGACCGGCTGGGACGTGAGGAGGAGAGGCTCCCCCAGGCGGCCCAGGGGCCTTCCCAAAGCAGAGGCTGGTGGGGAAGCCAAACCTCGCACAGAAAGTGTGGCCACGGAGCTGAGGGCGGGGTAGCAGGTGGTTAGAGCCTAGAGGCAGACTCTGTGCACTCAGATAGGCAAAGAGAAAATACAGGGATGTTCATGGCGACCCTTAAAAAAGAACAAACAAACCAGGGGCACCTGGGCGGCTCGGTCGGTCAGGCGTCCGACTTCGGCTCAGGTCCTGATCCCGAGGTTCGTGGATTCGAGCCCATGTCGGGCTCTGTGCTGACAGCTCAGAACTTGGAATCTGCTCCGGATTCTGTGTGTATCTCTCTCTGCCCCTCCCCCACTTGCTCGCTCGCTCTCTCTCGCTCCCTCTCTCTCTCTCAAAAAATCAATGAACATTAGAAAAATTAAAGGGGCACCCGGGTGGCTCAGTCGGTTAAGTGTTGAACTTCAGCTCAGGTCATGACCTCACAGCTTGTGGGTTCGAATCTTGCTTCGGATTCTGTGTCTCTGTCTCTGTTG